TGCCGAACAGAAACCACCCAAACCCGTGGGAACCGTCCGTCAATGGGCTTGGTTCCGGAATTTTTGGCGGCGCGAGTGTTATCTCCGCCCCCGCAAGTCCGGAGACTGGCTTGGAAGGAATTTCGCATTCTCTGCTCGCGCTGAGCTGCTCCGATCGAGCGCGTCTGTGTATTTGCGTTTCGTGAAGGGCGTGCACCACGCTGAGGCAGGTCCACAACCGCGAGCCTTGCAAACGTCGCGACAAGACCACGAGGGCAGGCCGCTCTGCTTGGGATCGCTGGAAAAAGTATCCAGCGTGGTTAGCACCCGGGGCTCGACGTGATCTCTGTTGGTATGCCTCCCCCCTTGGGGACGCGGGCGCTCTTGTGGAGAAAGTGCGCGCGTTCTGGAGATGTGCCCCCCCCCCCCCCCCCACACACACACACACACACACACACCACCCCACTCCCCAACGCAGAGGGGTTACGTCCTGTTGGGCAGCTGCGAATTTTCCTGGAGACCATGCGTGAAGAGGGGGGTCTCGCCCCTCCTCGCGCAAACTGATCGCGTTGGTTCTGGGGAAGCGGGTGATTCTGGCTAGCGCTTTCTTTCTGGGCCTCCTGGGGTTTCTTTCCGATTGAATTACCGTTGAAGGCGTCCAGCAACGCGCGGGCAACCCGACACCTGGGTCAGCCGACTTGCGCGGCAAAAGATGAGAGCAGCCACCCGGAGTGCGACCGTCAAAACATCCCTCTCCCTCCTCTTTTGCCTCCACCATCCTCTGTCCTGGGAGAGGCGGGATGAGAAGGGCGCAGGGGGGAGGGGGGGGGCAGGGGGGGGGAACGCCCCGGACCCCCCGCGTCGTGCAACAATCACGCGAAGATGTTTGGTTATGTCCGGCCTCATGGGGCCCTTACCGTGTTCGAGGTTCGTCAAACAACTGCTCGGGATGAAACATGGGGCCGTGGGGCGCGGTCGAGATTTTGGGTGGTCTAGGTCGCGGTACTGCCATGGTGGGCCCACGGTCTAGGAAAGGAGCGCACAGCAACCCCAACGTGGGCAATGGGCAGTAGCATTGTTAAGGATACAACCGCGCCAGGTGTTGTGTTGCGCTGCGCTGTGCCGTGCTGGACGGTGCTGATTCGTTATACTCGAGATCGTGAGGCATTCAACATCGTCAGCGGACGTGCCAGGGGACATGCAATGAAGGGGGGTGGCAATGGATGCGCCAGGGGACGGGGCATGGGACGGCCTCACCCTGCTCAGCAAGTCGTCGCCGCTGGCTGGATCCGCGCTCCAAGGGCCACGATCACATGCACATGTCAGTGGGCTCGCGCTGTCAGAGCCACGATCCCTTGCAGAATGGTGTAACTATCGTGGTTACACGTAAACGGTGCAACACAGAAGGTTGCACGTCAACGGTTGCAATTTGGAGTCGTGCACGTAAGTGGTACAAGACAGACGGTTGTATGAAAATGGTCAAACACCGGCAGTAACACATTGACAGTGCAGGGATTGGGGTTGCACGGAAGCGGGTTTAGCTAGAGGGTTGCATTTAAACAATACAAGACAGGGGGTGCGCGTAAACGGTGCCATATACAGCGATTGCACTCAAACGGTGCGTCCGTGCTCCCAGGGCCGCGATCCCTTATACATTGGTTGCGTCCGCGTTCCCAGGGCCACATGCGTTTGTGAATTGCGCTGCGTCCACGTTCGGCACGATCCCCCGCAACTTAGTGGCAATCGCGCCCCCACGATCACACACCCGTGGAAATCACACTGCGTCCTCGCCCCTGAGGCCACGAGCCTTTCTGTAAATAACGCTACGTCCGCGCACACAGACCACGATCACTTGCTCCCAGGGCCACGGTCTCTCCTAGGGCTATCCTCCCAGGCCATCTTGAGGTGTCCAGGTGCCCCCGGAATCCTCCCGGGGGCCCGCCAACAATAATTAGCTGATGATTTCAAATTCTCTGGCGCGCGTTTCAAACCATTGTTTCACATGACATGTTATGTGCCCCTCACGTGGATGTTGCACACATCGCTCCGAACGTTTTATTTCAGAGGAAAGACGGGTCTGCGGACCCCGCACATGTTCCTCGTACGGGCACGCGGGGAACCAGATGTGCTCCGATTGCCAATATGACTTCATCTCGTTGTGCTATCGAACGGAAGCCCGCCGGCCTGTTTCAGACGAGGCGCCACGGGAACATGCTTACATAATGAACGAGGACCCTTGGCCTACTTTGGGTTTCTTTACAAGCTTGGGGGGGTACCCCCCCGACGGGGCCTTGCCGCGTCGTCGTGCCGCGACGGGGGTCGGAGCGCCTTCGGCGCGCGGTGGCTGCCCGCGACGGGGGTCGATGTGGGGCTGTCGGCGGGGGTGACGCCTCCCCGATGCTTGTTATGAAACTCGGGGTATGCCTTTTGCGGGAACAGCGTCCGAGGTCTTGGGAGGAAGGGAGGGGGCAGGACGAGGAGAGGAGGACTGGAGGAGGAAAAGTGGAACAGGAGGAGGGCGGGGCCCAGGCAAAAATCGGGGCGGCCGCTTCGTCGCCATTCTTGGCTCCCCTGGAGGGACGCCTCCCGGGCCGTCAACGAAGCGGCCCAGGATGAAAACCCGGCCCTGCAGGAGAGGGGCCAGGAGGTCCGGGGGGCGATGCTTCGATCGGTTTCGCCATGCCCCCCGGCATCTCGGGCGCCCCCGTGCCCCAGCAGGTCAGAGTGGGCAAACGCGTGTACGATTTGCTTGTGGCGGGCGAACGAAAGAGGCATCGATTTGCAGCAAGATCTACGCTTGACGGCCGCGCTGTGCGCTGGCCGTACTGCCCTGGCAGTGCATGGTTTCAACCGCCCACGCGCCGAATGGCATACGGTGTCTCGCTCGCTCTCGGCCACGCGCAGCGGGGGTGGGGGTTTGGGGGAAAAGGCTTCTTGGAAGGAGGCTGCTTCTTAGAGCGCGCGGGGCGCATCGACAAGTGTGGAGGCTGCCGCCTTCTGAGAGGCAGCCTCCGTCCGAGAGGCCTTCCCCCCTCCCCAGGCCCTCCCGTGCGCGTGGCCAGGGCCCGCTCGGTTTGCGATCGCCCCCGACTTATAAACCCGCCACGAAAAAAACAACGAGGGGGAGGGGGGCGAGGGGAGGCCTCCAGAGGTCCCTGGGGGGTCCCCCCCCAGAGGGGGGCCCAGGAGGGTGCCGCGGGACGCCCGAGAGCGTCGAGCCTCGAGCCCTAAGTCGGGCCTGTCCCTCTCTACAGGAGGAAGATGCAAAAGCAGTCCACAAACATGTGGCATGTCCGTAAGGGCTTCGCCTCCTGCCGCCGGCCCCCTCGCTCGGAGAATGCGCTCTGCAAGAGCTATGTCATGAGGCCTGGGCGCTGTCGTGAAGCAGTATCGGAACTTCATGCGAGGCCGGCTCGTAACGAGCAAAACCTAAAGATGACCAGAGGGGTTACCACACCTGGCGATTGGTGAGACGTCATGACCCTGCCGATCTGCGTGAGGGGTGCCCCCTTTAAACAAAAAAATGTAGCAAGTCCCTCGTGTTTTTAGACCATGACCCTAATGACGGATCCGCGTGAGGGCTGCCACCGAATTTCAGAAAGTGTGCAAATCTCTTGTGTTTTTGGACCCTGACCCCGCCGATCTGCGTGAGGGGTGCCATCGAATTTCAGCAATGTGGCAAATCCCATGTGTTTTTGCACCCTGACCCCGCCGATCTGCGTGAGGGGTGTCACCGAATTTCAGACATGTGGCACATCCAATATGTACGTGCACCCTGACCCCGCCGATCTGCGTGAGGGGTGCCAGCGAATGTCAGAAATGTGGCAAATCCTCTCTCTGTGTTTTGGCACCCTGACCCCGCCGATCTGTGTGAGGAGTGCCACCGAATGTCAGAAATGTGGCAAATCTCTTGTGTTTGTGCACCCTGACCCCGCCGATCTGCGTGAGGGGTGCCAGCGAATGTCAGAAATGTGGCAAATCCTCTCTCTGTGTTTTGGCACCCTGACCCCGCCGATCTGTGTGAGGAGTGCCACCGAATGTCAGAAATGTGGCAAATCTCTTGTGTTTGTGCACCCTGACCCCGCCGATCTGCGTGAGGGGTGCCAGCGAATGTCAGAAATGTGGCAAATCCCCTATGCTTTTTGACCCTGACCCCGCCGATCTGCGCGATTGGTGCCCCTTTTTACCCACCCCGGCAATTCAGACAGCACGCTCAAGGCGTGCGGGCCTCCCCCCCCTTCGCGCGGTCCATCAACGAGGAACAGTAAGCAGCGATGAGCAGAACTGTGACAGTGGGAACTGAAAGCTGCAACTGGCACAGGAAACTGCAAACCTTCGGCCTGCAGCCTGGTGGCCCAACAGGGGGGCCGGCGGATTTGTTCTTTGATGTTCTGACTTGTGGGAATATGTTTTGACTGCATCTAACTGTGCGTCCACAATCCGCCTGTAGGAGGACATGCGCGACCTAACTCGAGCCCCGACCCACGACGACGCGGCGACGGGTGCGACGGCGCGCCACGGCGGCTGCGGCCGTGGCGACACGGAGAGCGGCGAGCCCGAAGAGGGAGGGGCGACGCCACCACCAGGGGGGCCATCTCCAGCGAGGGGGGTCCACACGATGCCTAGCAGGGGACAGGAGATGCATCGAGCGGGAGGGGGGGGCACGCCACCAGGAGGACCCTCCCAGGCGCCTCGCGCTGGTGGTGGTGTCGTCGCCTGCTGTTACAGGAGGGATAGCACACACAGGCACAAGCAATCGTCGATCCCCAGGAGATAGTTCTGGGAATCTGAGGGAAATGGGGGGGACGAAATTACAAAAAGTATGGGAACAGGTTGGGAATCCTAGGATTTGCGTCTATCCATTTGTGTGTGTCCCTGGCCCCTTCATGGTTGTTCTCAGACGAGGACGACGGCGACGCCTCGGCGGCCCTCGGCGAAGGACGGCGGCGACGACGCCGCGGCGGCCTCGGCGGGGGGCGGCGGCGGCGACGGCGAGGGCGGGCGGCGAGCGCGAGCGCGAGGCTGCCGCCGGCGCTCGTGGCGGCCCAGCGGAAGAGAGGCGCGCCGGGGGGGGGGGGGGGGGGGGGGGGGGGGAGGCGCGCGGGTCTGGCACGCGGCGCGCTCCGCGCGCCAGGGTGGGTCTCGGGGGAGGTGGTGGTGGTGGTGGTCTGCTGTGGCCCCGTAGGAGGGGGAAGGGTGAGGCGAGGAAGAGCGGAGGGCAGAAGAGGAAATCACGGCAGAGGCATGAACTTTTGGCGACGGAGGCGCCGCCGGGCGGGCCCAGCGCGGATCCAAGAAAACCGCGCGAAGAAAACCGCGCGAGGAACCCAACAGAAAGGCGAGGCGAGCCGGGGGGGGGGGGGTCCAGCGGCGGTCCCAGAGAGCGTCGCGGGCCTCCAGGAGTCGATGCGCAGGCACGCTGACGGCGAGGCAGGTTTCGGCAGTGTGGGTGGGCGTGGTTCGTGGCCAAGCCAGTTGTAGGACAGGCTGGTTCGCGTGCTCCCAGAATTAATTTGTTCTGCGCGAGGCTGGCGTCGCAAAAACACTAGATTCCCAACATCGCCGTTGACGAGCATCGCCGTCAGCGTGGCCTTGGCTTACGTTTGCGCGGTTCATGTGTCCGAAAGGGAACTTCGTTAAACCACCTCCGCCCAGAGGGCTGGAGGACCCCACCGATCCATGCTTCCCAAATGGGGCCAGAGTAGGTGGGGTCAGATAATCGCGCCGTATGGCCGATAGGTCGGCGATGCGGATCGATTTGGAGCTCGATGTTCTCAACGGTGATGTCGCCGATGCATCGCAGATGCAGCGCGATCCGTCGGACCCCTCCCCACAGGGGAAGAAGGGGGTTTGAATAGGAATCTCGCTAAGCACCTCCGCCCACAGGACTTGTGGGGTCGCGCGCCAGGGTGGGTCTCGAGGGAGGGGGAGAGGAACACGACGAGGGGGAGGAGGAGCCACGGAGGAGTCTTTTAGAGCACCCCGGGGTCCACATCTGAGCCCCTTCGTTGGCCGGATGGTGATCGTGTCCTTATCCATTGTTTTGCCGATCGGCGCGGGCTCTCGCACCCCCCCTGCATCCCCCCCATGGAATAGATCTTGTCTGTTTTGGGCGCCTGTTTCGAGCAGGTGGAGGCTCCCCCATAGGACGTACTGTTGCAAACAGTCGCGTTAGGCAGAGGTCCGGAGACGGACCCCCTCCCCCTCTCCCTTTTCGCCCACTGTCGAAACGCCGAATAAGAAAACGCTCACATGGACGCCGAATTAATCGCGGCGCTGATCCGCACGGGATCCTTCCCGCGGGCGTGCCGTCTCTTGCAGGCACCTGGCCTGGGAGCCGCCCGGACGTCCGATGATGTGATTTGTTGTTCCGTCCGCGAACCCAGTGGTCCCGACTCCTTGCCCTGGGTCAGTTTTTCGTCATGGCTCCTCCTCCTCCTCCTTCTCCTCCCCATCCGCCTTCCCCTCCCCCTCCCCCTCCCCCTCCCCCTCCTCCTCCTCCCCCTCCTCCTCCTCCTCCTCCTCCTCCTCCTCCTCCTCCTCCTCCTCCTCCTGCCCGGGGTCAGTTTTTCGTCGTTGATCCATGTTTGAGTGCCCCGGGTTTCTTCCTCTCTGGTTTGCGCCTGCTGCCGCAAGGCGTCAGTTACACGGCCATCGCTCACAGGGCAGCCATCTTCTTCGTGGTTTGACGCCTTCGTACTTCTCGAGGGTACGGCACGCGAGGCAGCTTCGCGGTTTCTCGCCTGGGTCGCCGAGGTTGTCATCGTGCTGCGGTGTCCGCTCCCACTCCGCCCCTCCAGCAAAGAAACTGTCAGATTGCCGCGGGGGGGGGGCCGAAAGATGACCCCAGGCGCCGGACTCAGACGGCAAGCATCGTCTGATGTTGGGGCTGCGCCCCCTCCCTCCCGCAGCGAGCAAGTGGGTAAGCACACTCGAGGCCTCCCGCCTTCCTCGCTCGATCGTCGCGGCCCGATCTCCCACGAGGCCGCCGCTGCAGAATCGGGAAAACGTAAGTCTCGAGTCTCGAGTACGCCGGAATTCGCGCTTACCGACGCTCTTTGACGACCTGGGTTTCGACGGTCCAGTTTCCGTGGGATGCTTGCATCGGGAGCTCGCCTCATATTTCAGACTGGGCCTCATCCTTTCCATGATGGCCCCGTCAGGCCAACCCGAGTCCTCCGAGCCCGAGTCTTGCGTCTCCCCGGCAGAGCCGGAGGCGAACGGCACGCCAGACCCCGACCACCTCGGCGCGCGCGGGGCGCGGCGGCGCGCCGATAAAACTGCGGACTCGCAGAGTTCGAGCAGACAGTCGGACCGAGGTACGAGATCGAGGTCGGTTCGTGGAGGGCACCCTGTAGTGTTCTTTGTGCTTGTTGGATGCTCTTGCACGCCCTGGGGAGGGTACCCTCGGGTGTTCTCTGCGTGTGTTGGCCGGCGGATGGTCGCACGTTCTTGGAGGACGCTCCTCTGCCGCAGGTCCGACTGCAGTACTCCGCAGCCTTCTGGGCTCAAGCCTCGCCCCCACCCCCCTTCCCTGGGGTTCCCCTCCGAGCCCGCTCGGCTGCCCAGCGCGCAGCCAGCCGCGCTCGGCTCCGGCACTGCGCCGCGGGAGCCGAGCCCGCCTGGCCGCCGAACGGGCTCGCCCTCGAGCCTGCACACGCGGCCGAGGGGGCTCGGCCCCGGCCCCCTCGGCCACGCGCAGAGGGGGGTAATCCAATAGCCCTTATAACGGCGACGATGGAACACAGTGCCGGGGAACTGCTTTGAACATCACCAGTCGTTCAAAGCAGTGCCCCGGCACTGCTTTGAACGATGCGGAAATGCGATCAGCAGGAGCCTTCGTCTGTTCCTTCTCCTCTTCTCGTCGCTGTATGCTCTTCCTTGTCCTCCCTCCTCCCCCGTTCCCTCTCTAATTAATTACCTCGTTCTCCCAGTCTCACGCGCACTCTTCCTCCCCCCTCTCCTCCTCCTCTTCCTGCTTCTCCTCCTCGTCCTCCTCCTCCTCCGCCTCCTCCCCCTCATTTGTTATATTTCTCCGTCCTTGTCCTCCTGTCCCCGTTCTCCTTCTCCCTCTCCTCCTCCTCCTCCTCCTCGTCGTCGTCGTCCTCCTCCTCTTCCTCCTCCTCCTCCTCCTCCTCCTCTTCCTCCTCCTCCTCCTCCTCCTCCTCCTCCTCACCTTCTTCCTCCTCCTCCTCCTCCCCCTTTTCCTCTCCCTCCTCCTCCTCCTCCTCCTCCTCCCCCTTCCCCCTCTTCCTCCTCTGCTATCACTCCTCCATAATTCCTGTCCGCTCCTCCCCTTCACTGATCTTCCTCTTCGTCATCATCATCCCTTTCGTCGCACGCCTCTTAATCCTCAATCGGTTCCCAATCTTCTCGACTTTCTTGTCATCCGCGTCCTTGGCTGTTGGAGGGGCCTCAGGAATTCTCAGGGCTCTTGTGTTGCACGCGAAGGCACACCTCCCAGGAACGCATCATCCTCCTCACATTCACCCTCCTCCTCCTCATCCTCCTCCTCCATGCACGTTCGGCTCAAGCCCGCGCCGACGGTAGGTTTCACGGCGGTTGGGCGGGCTCGCGCCCGCCTCCGCGGCCGGCAGTCGGGGCAGAGATGCGTGCAGGGTGGGATGACAAAGCGGAAGAGGAAACACGGGCCGCAGTTGCGGATTCTTCAAAGAGCAGCGGCGGCGGTTGGGGAACAAGTGGGGGTTGGGGCGGCCGCAGTGGCGGATACGGCGGCGGAGGTGACCGCAGTGGCGGCTGGGGCGGCGGAGATTCTCTTGGCGGATGGAGAGGAAAAGCGCAGGATGGCGGCGACGGAAGTGACCGCAGTCGCGGATGGGAGGGCGGCGGATGGGGCGGCAACGGATGCGAGGGTTGGGGAATGGAGGGCGCCCGCTGGTGGGACGACGAGGGTGGCTGGTGGAATGCATGGGAAGGTGGCCGCTCGAGTGCCTCGGCAGGTTCTCCTGCCGCGGAGCCCGCGGCCGCAACAGCGGCGGGCAAAGGAGGCGGTCCCCTGCTTCCCCCAGGGCGCGAAGAACAAGGCGCAGTTGCGCTGTTTCAAATTGTGCGCAATGAGCCGCTGCCAATTTTCAAGTTGGAATTCTTCGAGAACTTCAGGGCGAACTGGAACGGCAATTATAAGCAGCACAACGCGGCCTTGAAGTGGTTCCGAGACGAGTACGAAGACCGAGAAAACCCTTTCGGCAGCCGCACGCCCGTCTTCGGAGGTACCGCAGTTGCGGAGGAAATTTCGAAGATCCTTAAGTACCGCGCAAAGGGGAAGGCGCAGGACAACAGGGATTGGGACTGGGACCACACTGTCAAAGTGCCGTGGTCTTGGCTGGAGATGGTCGCGCAGATGGATGGACCTACAATGCTGCGCGTCGTGTGCGGCCCTGACAATGACCGCAGTCGCGGGTTGGTCCGCTGCGAGTGCCGCCCGTGCCCTAGCAGTCTCGACAACATGAGGCACACGAAAGGGGTGGACAGAGGACAGGCGCAAAGAATCCCTCTGCCCCAGTGGGATTTCGTCCTCATCCGCGACGACGGCTCGGGCATTCGCGTCCACCCATCCTGGTCTAGCCCGAAGTTCAACACGTATGAGGTGGAGCCGCACTCGCATCCCGTGCGGGGCCCGAGGGCAGGTCTCGGCAAGAGCGATGGCCACGGAACGTTCACGTTCTGGAAGATGCTGCACGCCCATCCGAATCCTGGGCGGTTCGACGCGAGCAAGGGGGCGCATCTGCAACCGCGGTGGTCCGCGCAGCCTTGACACCGCAGTTGCGGGATTGCGCAGCCATGGAACCGCAGTTGCGGGGACCGATCGCGTGACGCCGCGCTCGTTTGACTCACTATGCGCGCTTTCGGCCGCAGTTGCGGCGCTGCCTTCTAGCGACTTCATACAGCTTGGCCGCAGTTGCGGCGCTCCCACGACTGACCGCTGTAATTAGGTGCTTCGGGCGCGCATCACCTCCGTTGAAGCACTCGTGACGTTAATAGCGCGGCCGCAGTTGCGGAGACAGGTACTTAAACAGATGGATCCGCAGTTGTTCGTCGTCCTCGTATCCCCTTCCCCGTCGTCCTCGTCGCAGTCTCCTCCCTCCGCCTTTCCTCCTCGTCGCAGTTCCTTCCGTTGGCCGTAGCCCGCCTCCGTTGGCCGAGTCATTTCCCGTCGTCCTCGTCGCAGTCCCCCCCGAGGGCCGCAGTTGCGGACTTTGTTGATTCCTCCTCCTCCGTTTCTGCCCCGTCATCCTCGTCGCAGTCCCCTTGCTCCTTTCACCCTCGTCTGAGCTCTTCGCGCCATCCTCTTCCGTCGCGTCCTCTCCATCCTCCTCTTCGCCTTCCTCGTCCTCATCCCCGCCGTCTCCCTCGTTGCCGTTCCTCTCCCAAGCCGGCCGCAGTTCCCCCGTCGGACGGGGGCCGCGCGCGGCCACGCCATGGACCCAGCTCGCAAAGCCGAGGTCGACAAGCGGTTCGCCGAGCTGAAGCAGCAACTGCGGGAAAGGCTCGGCGCGCAAGGGGCTGCCGCGGATGCCGCAGTCGCGGAGCCGACGGGGGACCGCAGTAGCGGAAGCCCCGAGCGACCGCCGCGCGAGGCCTCCCCGCAGTCGTCTAGCTCCTCGCGGTCGGCCAAATATCGGCCGCCGCCGCCGATAAGCGCTGCGAGTGGGAGCTCTGCTGGTGGGAGGCGCGAAGAGGCGCAGTTGCGCAGGGCGCACTTGACCCCCAAGGCAAAATGGGGGCCTCGGGCGCAGACGCCGACGAAGCAGCAGGACCAACCAGCAGTGACGGGAGCCGCCACCGAGACCGCAGTTGCGGGGGTGGCCGGCGAGCCAGGTGCCGCGCGCGGCTCATCTGGGAGCAGCGCGCCCTCGGCCGTGCTGCTCGCAGCCGAGTCCAAACGAGGCGCCCAACCCGAAGACGAGGCCGCCTCCCAGGAGAAAGCCGCCGAGACAACCGCCTCGGCCGATTCGCGGCCGAGGAAAAGGCCGCCTCCCACGGAAGACTCGCCGCTGTCAGAACCGCAGTCGCGGGGTCGCGCGGGGCCTCCGTCGGAACCGCAGTTGCGGGAAGATGCGGGAGCACCGCGGAAGAAGCAGCGGACCAGGTCCCCTCCAGGGATAAACTACTTTGGGGAACGCCCCAAGTGGAACGAAGGATTCCTTCGCACAGCAGACGGCAATCGGGTTCCGTCCACCATCGCTTTGGTGTTCAACGTGGTGGTCATCACGAAGGTGGCAACAAAGGAAGATGTCTTCAGGTGCATCTTGCACCAAACTGCGGCGGTCGTCTTCGTCGTATGGGACCCCGAGCTGTTCCGCACGGGGAACGTCGAAGGCGCTTGCAGCTACGACGTTCGCGTTGGACTCAGGAGTGCCATCGACAACGCTGTCACTATGAAAAACGCCTCCGAGGAGCCTTACTGGACGACGGTTCCCCTGTTCAGAGAGACGGGCCTGGTGCTCGTGCGCCCGCACATCATCGCAGAGACCGCAGTTGCGGGTCATGTTCATGGGGCCACCCACGCCGTCACGATCCTGAGCTTTCGCCTGAAGGGCTCCGAGATGAATCCTGCCGCGGTGATCCGTTTTGCCGTCGTGTCCAGACACGCAGTCACCGAACGTCTCCAACACAAGATCACGCAAACAGAACAACAAGCGTGGCATCCAGGTTTCTTCAAGGACGCGGTTGCTGCCATCCATAAAAATGATGTGCGGTTCTTGTGCGGCCTGTTTGACATCCCGCCTGAGCAGCTCGCAGCATTGGGCCGCAGTTGCGGAGCCAGCTGCACCTGCCCGGTGGGGGTGGTGTTCAGGGCTGGACCCGCCCTGTTCGGAGGCATTGTGAAGGGCACACGCGTCATGCATCCGAATTACGTCCTCCCCATTGGCCCGTGCGACGTGCGCATTGCGGACTACAACATTGATTTTGCAGGGAGGCCGTCGAAGAACGATCCCCAGTGGCTCCCTGATTGGATGCATCGAACAAGCGACTCCATCATCTCTCGGCGCTGGGTTCCAGCGAAGTACATGCCCAAGTGGGAGGATGACCCTGACCGCAGTAGCGGAGTCAGAGAAAAGCTCCACTTGGCAGCGCTGCCCCCAATCGGCAAGGTCATTCAGAAGGAGCTCAACGAGAAGACCTTCAGCACGCACTGGTGCGAGGGCATCCACCAAAACATCGTCTTCGTCGGCCACGGACGCGCAAGTCGGGCGAGCAAGCGGAAGCACGAAGAGGCGCGATCTCCCGCAGTTGCGGACGAGCGGTGAGTGCGGCAAGACCGAGGAGCCGCAGTTGCGGAACAGAGCTCGGTACTACTGGGCGCCTGCTGCCTGCGTAGTGCATCCCAGTGTAGGATGGAGTTGCATGTTGCGGTGTAGGATAGCCCGCAGTTGCGGGGTTGCGGTTGCGAAGCCGCAGTTGCGGTTGCGTATAATAGGAGAGCACGCGGTTGCGAAGCCGCAGTTTGCAATAAGTGTGCGCGCGCTGGGTCATCATCATCGTCGTCGTCCGTCCTCGTCGTCGTCGCTGCCGTC